ATCAATCAAGATTCAAAGTTTCCAAAGGAGAAATCAGCACATATGAATCACAATACATACTGAGTCAAAAGCATGAAAAAGATGATAAAAATCTTCACCCCCAAACTTAACGATTACATTTAAAGGTAGAAATAGCACAACAAACATGCAACATAACATCCATCAAGATAATAAGCTGTCCTTAATCAATCCAAAATACAGCCAATCCCCCAAACTTAAAAATTACATTGTCTGTAACAAAAATATACGAATGGAGTAGACAACGAGGAAAAAGAAAATGAAAAGGGGAAAGAACAATACTGCCCTGAATTTAATATCAATATTGCATAGCTCAAAGACCTCTAGACAATCCGCCAAAATCTACATTAAGCCTATATGAAACACAAAAAGTAATGAGAAAAAATAAATCTAAAGAAACTAAGATAACATAAACAAAAACAAACTAAAAAAATACTTTGGGTTGCCTCCCAAAAAACGCTTTATTTAATGTCTGTAGCTAGACGTGGCTCTCTTTTATTTTATTTTTCTTAAGGTGTATAAAACTCCTCAATTTTCTTCGGTCCCTTCTTCCTTGAATCGATGTATCCTACTAGCTCTAGTAGGCTCATTTTTTTTCATGGGCACCTCAAAGAGAGAAAATTTTATAATATAAATTAAGAAGGTTAAAGAAAAATAAATCAACATAATATTTACAAGACTCTTCAGGATAAAGAAAGAAAAGATGTGACTTAAGAGAATTTTCAAAAGATAAAATAGGTGTAGGCTTTTCAGCCTCTTCCTTTATCACTTGAAATTCTTCTTCCAAATTAGGCTCGTGTTCTTTCTTTATCTCACAAAACTGTACTCCCTGGTGTTGCTAAAATTTTTCCAACTCAATCTCACTGTCAATGCAAATAGCTTCACTGGTTTCTGCCTGCTCAAAGTTCTCCAACTCATCCCCACTATCAACGCATACAACTTTACAAGTTTCTGCCTTAGTGGTATGGAAAAAATTTTGCTCATGAAAGGCTTTAATTGAATCAACTATCTGGCTAAGTTGTATTTCCAAACGCTCTATAACAGCTTCGTTTTCTTCAATTGTGGCCTCCATCCTATCAACTTTGACCTCTATCCTATTCATCCTTTCTGATTCTTCTGTACAAAGATTTTTAATTCTACATTACAAAGTATATTGTCGCAATAAATCTTCAAGGGACGAATTTTCCTCACTCTGGTTGGGATAATTTTGGCTCCAAGTACCTTCATTGTCACCACACAAAGAATTTCCATATCTCATATAATTAGAATGATAATAATTAGGCACTTGACTTTCCTGAAAACACTCATAATTAACATAAGAATTCTCATAGTCATAAGAGGGGTAAATTAAAGAATAAGAATTAAATGATGATGGTGGCCCTTGGGTGGTCGAAGACTCCTCATAAGGCCACTCGTAATTATAAAAAAACATGATTCACATAAAGGCATACCAAGAAAATAATACACAAAAATAAAAATTAAAAAAAATCAAGATAAAGGGAAAAAAATCAAGATACAAAAAATATATACAAAATAGAAGAAAAAAAAACTCTAAATTAAGACCAAGCAAGTTCTCCACGATATCAAGTGAAACTAAATAATTGTTAGTCCCCGGCAACGACGCCAAAAACTTGTAGCAGAAATTGCTTACCGTAAGTGTACGGGTCAAGCTTTAATAAAGTGGTAAGTCAATACCGATATCGTCCTCTAGATTGGGTTTCTAGATCACTCAAGTACCAGAGATAAAATTGCTCTATTTTATTTAGAGAATCAAAATCAAATGGGAGAATATAATCAAAGAAAATAAAAATGCAATAATAAACATAAAAACAATGGGGGAAAGGTCCTAGGAAATTGATTTCACCTATTGAATCTATGAATCAACTACTTAATTACTCAAGATTGGACGAATTATTAATTATATAGGCTAAGAACTCTCAAATCTCAACTTCCTCTCCCGAGCGCAAGCTAATTCTCCTTACGAATTAAGAATAGTTTCTATAACAAGTAAAGGCTTTATTGACAAGTCTTTTAACGACCTCTAAAGGACTTCTAAATCTCCTGATCTTAAAACCCCTTTAGTTATGCATCCCAGTTTTAACTCTAAACCACCTCTCCCGAGCGTAAGATTTCAAGTCTAAAATCAATCAATCTATGGCCTGTAGATTCAAGGCATTAAGCATATAGAAGCATAAATAGAACATTCATAAACATTCAACCAAGAAAACTAAACAATCAATGCATAAAGTTCAATGGCTACATCAATCCCTAAGATGAGAGGTTTAGCTTCTGATATTCAATGGAAAACAATAAAATCACAATGAGAAGTCCATAACAAATCTAGAAAAATCAAGAGAAAGGAGAAGAAACTATGTTCGGCGTGTCAATCGTCGGTCCCCGAAGCGACCTCCACGATCCCGAGCCTTGAAAATCACTTTTCTAAACTCTCAAATGGTCTCCTTGCCCTCTAATTTGGCCAAAAAGGCAAACTGTCATAAAACCTCTTCCAAACTCCCCCTATTTCGGCGGCTGCACAACCCTATTTTTTTAAAAAGTTGTCGCGGCAGCGCCGTGGCGCTATATATAGGATCATGGCGCTACATTATTCGCAAACGCGAAATTTAAACTTCGGAGCGCCGCGACGCTCTAGGCTAGCACCGTGACGCTATCTCCTCGGGTTTTTAGCTCCAAATCTTGTTGTTATTCCATCTTGGTCACTTTGATTCCGATTTTTCTCTCATTTTGATCCAAATATGTCTTGTTTCCTCCCGATGCTTTATTCCTGCAAAATATATATTATGTGCTTAAATTTGTCATGAAGAAATGAAAACTAACAAATAATTTCAATATAAATCTCATGAAATGTAGCTCACAAAGTGTGCTATCAGATATTTTTTCATCAGCACTCAAACAAACTCCAGATTGATTTTCTATTTTGTTTTCGGTGTATTTAACTCTACTTCTATTTCAATATTGTTTAGAACTTGTTTATGTTTTTTTTTTGTTAGTTTTGTCATTTTTCTATTCTTTTATCCTTTTGCTTTCGTCGTTTTTTCAGTAGTGCATATCATAAAATAACTATGATTATAAAAAAAACATCTTACTACAATGTGAATAAATTGAGGTAAAAAGTGATCTTTATGTTTTTTTTCCTTTAGTTTGATTGTTTCATTCATTTTTTTTTGTAAGGTGAGAAATAAGGTGGTCCCCAATTTAATTTTCTTTGATTTGTAGTTGAAGTAATGTACATTTTTTTTGGCTCTCCCTTCCCAGGGGACTCAAGCTAGACACAAATAGATCATCAGTTTAAATTTCTTAAACTCACGCGTTATAATTTCATTTTATCTAATCCGATAATAACCGAGACACTTTTTTGGATGTTTGGAAATCATGCGCAAATAATGGTTATATTGAAAAATGGCCGACAATAATTTGATTTATTTGGTTTAAGTTTTTTTAATATTTCGATTAAGACATTTGAAATGTTTTTAGTTTATTTTTGAAAAACTAAGATGAGATTGCAAGTTTTAATTTAGTTAAGTTAGTTGATTACTGAAATTAGTAGCTGATATTAAAATATTATATTAATAATATAATATATTGTAAAATATTAAGGGCGTAATAGTAAAAATACTATACATTAGTTTCATTTCTCGTGGACATCCAAAAAGAAATTTTAATTTCAAATTTAGAATCAATATGGTTCTAAAGGGAATCAGAAATTTAAAATCATTTCCGTTATTTAAAATCTTAGAATTTAGAATCGTTTTCTATTAATTACAGATACCAAAGGTAGTATAAATGATAGAGAGAATCAATTATTCATATTCTACTGTCTATATAAATAAATCTATAAAGTTGACCTAATATAAAAGATGTAAATGGAGGACAAACTAACAAATATCTTCTTTCAAAAAAAAATGGAAGAATAAATATCTTAATAGATTACAATAATACAAACTAGCACTATAACACTTTTCTTTTGTTAAAAGTACTCAACGAATGTAGCGAAATTTAAAAAGAAATAAATGACCTGTTTGGTTGGAAACTCGAATTCTATTTTTTTTAGATTCACTAAATCAAATGGATTTAGTGAATATGCGTTTGATAGGATTTGAGAGATTCATTTCGAAAATTGTTTTCAGATTCTATGATCCAAACATTACAAATTCTGAATCTAAAAACATTAAAATGGATAAAAACTTTGATAAATATAATACTTCATATTATAATTCATTTTATGTTTGCTAAAATTAAAATATATAAAATATAATGTATTCTAAAGTTATATTAACTAATTTATTAACATTTTTTATGAATTTTGTGTAATTGTTATTTTACAACGTTATATAATTTAGAATACATTATATTTTATATATTTTAATTTTAGCAAACATAAAATGAGTTATAATATGAAGTATTATATTTATCAAAGTTTTTATCCTTTTTAATGTTTTTAGATTCAGAATTTGAAAAATTTAATATTTAGAATTACATTAAAATGGATAAAAACTTTGATAAATATAATATTTCATATTATAACTCATTTTATGTTTGCTAAAATTAAAATATATAAAATATAATGTATTCTAAATTATATAACGTTGTAAAATAACAATTACACAAAATTCATAAAAAATGTTAATAAATTAGTTAATATAACTTTATTAAATTAAATATTTAATTTGTAACTACTTTTAACTCACAAGTATATTATTAAACACACATTCACAGCTATATTATTAAACACACGTTGAACAATTTTTTAGATTGAAATTTAATTACCAAATCAGCATTGAAATTTAATTATCAAATCTGCTGTCAAACACGTATTTAAAACACAGTAAAAATAAATAACAATAGTTTTCATTAAGTTTTTTGTTTTCACCCTTAAAAGTTGCAATACTTTGAATTTTACAAAAAAAAAATGGAAAAAAAAAAGTTTTAGGGTGAAAGTTGATATGTCGAAAACTTTGGAGTAAAAATGGATCTTTTTTCCTTGGGCGAGGCAATTGCCCGAATGCCCGCTGCTCTTAACATCGATTTTTCTCGCGGAAGATTTCCAGTTCATCTCTTATTTTCAATTCCGGAGTCCACGATCATATATCGTGTTACTCTCTCGCTGTTCTTGTAATTGTTTTTCGACTTGAACCGAAAAATTATGGAAATTCCAAGAGATCAACGTTCAGAACCTCTGCTCCCGATCCCGGTTTTGACGAGTTCTAACTCAACCCTAGACCATGGGAATTCTACACCGAGTTTCTACAGTTGGCTATTTGAGTGCCATGGATTTTGGTACAAAGTGTTCCTGATTGTGCCGAGTCTGCTTTTCGTTCTATACTTGGCATTTCGGGCAAGAAAGAGTTTGTCCAAGCTCTCCAATGGTCGCTCTTATATTATAGTTGCTTATTACGGGACTCTTTGGATCGTCACGTTGCTCAACTTTTCTTGGTGCTTTTTTCAGGTTCGTTCTTAACTTTCTAATTCTGTTTTAAGAATTTTGTTCCTTATCAGTGGTATATAGCCTTAGAAGCGTTGTTCTTGTTGTTCTTGTCTTTCTTTTTTCTATTCTTTTTTGTTGTTACCTTTGTAGCAATCTTGGTTTCGTCTGTACTTCATTTGATGTATAAAATTTGGAATTCGGTTCTACATTGTTTGGATTAAATTGGGTGCTCCGTTATTGGCTGAAGGAGAATATCTTTTTGTGTGATGATTTCTGCAAAGAAAAAGTTAAGGTTTTATGGAATTATGTGGTAAGGGCAATGTTATGTAACATATGGTTTGAAAGAAACAATAGGATTTTTGGGGATATTTCTAGGGACTGGAGGGAGGTTTATGATCTTACAATGTATAATAGATTTCGTTGGGCATCTTTAGAAATGAGTTTTAATTTTACTCCTTTTCGGTAATTGCTTCAAATTCTAGGTTGGGTTAGTGAATTATATTTCAGGATTTTGTGAGGTTCTTGCAAGGATTGGGAATATCATTTGAAACTTTTTGTATCTTATTGTAAACTTTCAATTTCTTTACGAAATGTTCAGTCTTTGTTTCAAACATTTCTTCCCACTTTTAATTTAGTAAAGGTTATCGTGTTTCTATAATTTTCCAACTGAAGCTGAATTTTATTTTATTTTTCCATACTTGGTCACTCAGCAGATTTTTTTATTATTCCCTCATACATGTCTGGGTTTGCATGACCTTTATTGTCTGAATTTAGAATTTTACAGAAATGGGTTTCAAATGCATCTTGAGAATATCATATATATATGTATGTAGGCATATCCTGGAAGGTATAGAGACTGCATTTCTGTCGATATCTAGGTACTCATGTACAAATCTCTGTCTCCAACCTTGAGTATCTAAGGATACATAGAGATTCCCAACCTTTTCAATATTCCTTCACTGCTGGCTGCATGATTCCTAATTGTGATGTTATCTAGCGCATGGTGATTTTATTATCAGGTTATCTATGTATTATAGGACGGAGGATACCATGATCAGATTATCTATATGTATTTTAGGATGGAGGATACCTAGCAACCCTCAACCAATCCCACGATCTTTTCTATATTTTTTCTCTCATTTTTGTCCTTAAATG